TTGAGAACAAACATAATGTGTTTTTTTACATTTACCTAACTTCAAACAGTTCKAACTATGAAAGACMTTGTAAATTTGTAAATAATATAAATTTTAATATTGTATCATTTGAATACACTATCCACTTATATTATTCTGATAAAAAAAAAGCCCGGTTCTATGGAAAGTAAAATAATACAACTCTTTTCTCCATGATATTTTACATAACAGAATTCGCGATGATGGCTGTTATGTTCGATGGGCGAGGGGGTCAGAAAGCGCAATCCATATATTATCAGGTCTATGATATTAGYGAAGTTATTTAAGACGCTATGGTTTTGCTCAAATGAAGTTTAATATTTAAATGTATTAATTTTTTTAATTCTTTATTTTAACATTATAAGAGTATCTAATATTATTATTTGTTAATTTTCATACGAGTACTTAATATCATTATATATTTTTTTATTTAAGTGTATTCAATTATATATTTTGTATAATAATATTTATTTTATAATTATTTAGTTTTGCCCTTACGATAAAAGTCAGTATACAGTTTTGCCCAAATGAGGTTGGTCATGACTAGGTTTGCCCCGTCAAAAGCCGAAATATGACATTTTGTCTAAGGATTGTGTGTAGTTCGCGTTTTTACCGAGTATTTCTGATGTTTGCCCGATTTCGACTTTTGCCCGTAACAGTGATATTGATATGATATATTTAATTGATAACGTATGCCGCGCCTCCCTGGAGGACCGTGTTCAAGGCCACAATCGCCAGATTTGGCCAACGCACAGAGTTTGGTACCCCTGCTACTAAGGCCCGGTTTTCCAGTAGTATGTCTAACTGTTAGATAAGTAACTGTTGGATAAATTTATTTGGCAGATAAAGTTATGGTTAAGCTGTCTTCCGTTTATCGTAAGTAACGTAAGTAATCCTCCAGATAGTTATCTCCTAGATAATTATCTAGAAGTTCAGGAATTGATAGTGGATATTAATTACTATGGTACAAGAAGTCACTCTCGTGATTGATCAAAATACGAATGGATCTTCGCAAGAAAAATTCTAAATTATTCCAATATGGCGTTACAACACTATTATCACAAAATACAATTCTTATCACGAAATAATTTTGAATTTTTACCGCCTTTCAAAATGCAATATGATCCAACTTTTGAAAGTAATWGCATTGATTATAAATACTAGTAGTATTATACTATAGTATTTATAATCAATGGTAATAGCAATATTGTTATATAGTGTGATRTAAAACAAAATAATTTAAAACCAATTATGACMGTTACACATTTTTATTAACACGATGTCTTAACATTTTTTTAATACGAAGCAGATATAATATTATTGTATTTCATGGTATTTTTATTGTGTTTCATATTTCATTGTTCTTTGGTATGAAAACTTTACTTTCTATATATATATATATGTGTGTGATATATAGGTAATTTTAAAATGTGTGCACAATAGGTAATCCCAATCATAACGAGATAAAATTTATCTAGTATAAAGTACAATATAGATTGCTATGAATGACTTCATTAAAGCTATAAATTACAGCTACATATCCACACATGTACACCCAATTATTATGAAATAAAAGAGAACAATAATTGCTATAGTTGTATATTATGTCAGTTTTACAGCAGAAGTGTGTTGCACAGTATTTAACACTGTATTAACCAATTTTACATTTATTATTATTATTTACCATGAGTTCTAGTAATTTGTGTTTTCAGTGTAATTCCAAGTACTCAAAAGCTTATAATTTGAATAATCATATGCGAAAAAAAACATGCCAATATTGTACTAAAGGTATTAATGAAAGATTTAAATTGGAAGTGTGTGAGTGAAATATTAAATATCCACTCTTAAAATGACCATACTTACWCTTTGACAAAAAAATAAAGTTTTTATTACTCTGGATTATACTCATTATTATTACACACATGTGTGTTATATAGTTAAATTAATTTACCTATTTTATTATAACTATTATTTATTAGTAAAGTAGTAAGTATTAATTATTTATTAAATTGTTATTTTATTTATTAATTGTTTAAATTTATAAAAGTTTCTTATTGTGAAAAGGTTTGACAATTATTTTTATTTTTATTTTTGTATTAGTTCAAGTTGAATATATGAAAATACATTTTTACTTGTATCAGTATTTAGTTATGAACAATAGATCATTTTGATGGCTGTTTCATATGTAAAATGTTGTAAGGAACACATTTTCTTTAAACTGACCCAAGTTAGGCACTTCTACGGTATGTTAAAAAAGTCCGATGATATAGATCCTGATGTGTCGTTTTTAATGAGTTTTTTAAACCACGTAAAAAAATTAACTGAAGATCAAAAACTGGATTTTCAATCTCATGTAATTAATTTTTTCAAATCTCTTTCCAAAACAGTACAACAACCGCAACATTTCCAAAATCCTGTTCACGAATCTAACTTAAACAATCATCTACCATAACTCTCTAATCATAGCATCTATAATATAAATACTTTGCAATCTGAAGTTCCATATAGTGGAACACTATGAGTGAGAAATTTAAATATTAAACTAATCATAATGAATGTCAGTAAAAAAAGAAAAATGGATTCTGAATGTTGTGTATTACAGCATAAATGGCATAAATGGCATCAATAAAATCCTCGGTTATATTAAATTGTATACGAAAAACGATTCTGAATGAAGATGGTTCGTTCAGAATCTAAAAGGTATGAGTAGTGCTTAGTATTAGTAAAAACACGAGTGTGAGTGAATAGAAACCCGTTATACTATTTTATAATCGACGAGTACGGAGTAGGCAGGGCCGTCCTTTGAGGGTGCGTGGGGGGGGGTCTAACCCCCCCCACTCATGATTTTTTTAGTACTTAGTCGGCAAATTTGACACTTGGTAAAAGTTGTCGGCAATTTGGCATCGTCGGTATTTTAATAGTATTTTAATTATTTTCAAAATATATTTCTATAAAAGATAAAACTATAAGATGACGATAACGTCGACATTTCGATTACACCGAATTCTAAAAATAGATGTGATTATCTACTAACCGTGTATTGCGCGACTGTACAACACGTAAGTATATGTAAACTGTTACCCGTAGCCTGTATGTATTGACTTATTCTTGGTATTATAAAATATTATTTAATTATTCTTGAAATTTGTTGCACTTTTGCAGTCGATAGTTATCAGTTGTCGTCTATTCGACTATTCGTCCGAGGTTAGTGGTAACATCGTGTTCTGTAGCTACCTACTACTTCCTAGAAATAAACTGTTTAATGTTGTTTTCTATAATTTTAATATTATGCGATTATTTTTTCGTATTATTCATATAATTTTGCATTTTGCTATTTAAATTATCATGAATTTTGGTAATAAAAATGAAAAAATTTCCGGTAAACGAAAGCGGATTAAATTAGAGTGTTTGGAATGTGGCAAAACATTTAACAATCATTACAAACAAAAACATGAAAAAAATATACATAATGGTAAAAAAGTCGGTACTAAACATTTTGGTGCTCCTAAAAACCCATTCGAAGCCTCTAAATCAAATTCAAAACTAGTAAGTAAAAATACTTAAAATAAATAATACTAACTAGGTATCCGTATTATGTTATTAACAAATAACAATTAGTAAATTGTATTAATATTTATGTAAGTAGATATAGGTAGGTACTAAGGTACCTAATTAATTTTTTTATGTTCTCATTTATTAGATTCAAAATACTCAGAGACCACTGGAAAAAAGTTGTTTTACAAATATTAATTTGAACCATCTTCCACCAAAGGTATTTAAAAATTTATCAGTAGGTATGAAATTGTTAGCTGTAAAATTATCACAAATTATTTTATGAGATACCTATGTACTATGAATAATATATTTTTACAATTGTATATTTGTAGTTATCTTCCTACTAATTATGATAATTATAATTTTCCTAAGATATATTAATTATTGTTTTTTTAGCCATCAGAATCACTTGATATGCCATTCCTTGATGTTACCCATGAAACACCAACAACATCGACTGCTATAGATGTTAACATTGAGTGTTCTAAGGAATGTGTAAGTAGGATTAATTAATAAAAACAAATTAACCTAAGTTATGCAGTATGCTATAAATATTAAATTAGACCATCTCCCTCCAAAGGTATTTTAAAATGAATCAGTATGTATGAAACTTTTAGCTGTAAAATAATCACAAATTATTTTTTTATGAGATATGAGTAGTATATTTTTTCAATTTTATCTTACTAGTTATGATAATTATAATTATCCTAAGCTATATTTATTAAATATTTATTTTTTTTTGTTTTTTTAGCCACCAGAATCACTTGATATACCATTCCTTGATGTTACCCATGAGACACCAACAACATCGACTGCCATAGATGTTAACATTGAGTGTTTTGAGGAATGTGTAAGTAGTAAAAATAAAATTATTAATAAAAATTATTTATTTCCTAAATGTAATTTGACAATAGTGTTGACTGTTGATATGCTATTGTGTGTTTGTTATTTTAATTTTTAACGTACATATTATTGTACTTTTTTTTATAGATATATATTTATTTATATACTTTATTATTGATGTCAATTTACTAATGTTTATTAATATATGTTCACAGATTTCTACTGATCAACTATCAGATGACATTCCAAAAAATAATCGGGAATTTGATGAAAGTTCATGGTTGTTGTGTGCTGGTCATATTGAAGATATTGTGTCAAATTTAGTTGAATGCAAGGAATTATTGAAAAAATTAAAATCAGATTCTACACCTAATCCAATAACATTCCTTTTAGAAAGTCAGCATATTATMAGCAATTTAAATTCAAAGAGTGAACTATTTTTAAGAACTTCGAAAAAAATTTCACAACATGTTTTTAATTCATTTGATGATAAATTAAACCAACATTCCAATCAACTTATTGAACATGATCCAGGTAAAAGAGGGCCAGTTCTTACTTCATCTCAAAGACAATAACTTATAGCAATGGGCCCACACCAGCCAAAACTTATAAAATACCCAATTAATAATAATATTGATAAAGTAAAACAACAATGTTTTAATTCGTCATGGTATAATGAATATCCAAAATTAGAGTATAGTTTAGCAACAGACGCTACGTATTGTTTTGTTTGTTCTTTATTTCCTAAAACGGCAGGAAAAATGTTTTCAAATACTGCTTGGGTGGACGAAGGTGTTAGAACATGGCACAAAATGAAGAGCAGAGGAAAATCCAAGCTAGGTAAATTAGAACAACATTTCACTTCATTATCTCATAAAGCTTCCTTAGGTGATTATTGCAGTTTTATGAAGAACACAAATCACATAGATGTAATTATGAATAGAGCAAAAAGAAATGAATTAATTACATTGGAACATGAAAAAGAGTTTAACAGGCAAGTTATTGTGATCTTGTTTGACATTGTTCGAACGTTAGCAAGACAAGGGTTAGCTTTTCGTGGTGATGGAGATGAATCTGGAGGTAATTTTAATCAGATTGTTCAATTGATTTCAAGACACAATCCTTTAATGAATAGGTGGATAAAGGATATTTCAATGCGTTCATATAAAGTGTCATATCTTGGACCTCGATCTCAAAATGAAATGATTGAAATTTTATGTAATTAAGTTAAAACAATTATTATAAAAGAAGTTCAAGATGCTAATTTATATTCAGTAATGGCTGATACAACTCCTGATATTTCCCATAAAGATAAGTTGGCAGTTTGTGTACGTTATATTAATAATCAAGGGAAAGCAATGGAGAGGCTATTGGAAATAAATGAAGGAATTGATAAAACTGGACTGGGCACAGCAAAGCAAATTATTGGTATATTAAAGAAGAACACTCTAAATACTGATAATTTATCATTTCAATCATATGATTTTGCAAGTAATATGTCAGGGTCATTAAATGGAACAAAAGTTAATCTTTCCAAATTAGTAGACCATGAAGTTTATTATATTCCTTGCCAAGCTCATAGAATGAATACATTCCTTGAACATAACTGTAATGCTAGTTTAAATATATCAAATATGATTGGTAATTTAGAAAGTTTATACGTATTTTTCTCTGCTAGTACCAAGCGTTATAGTGTTTTGAATAAAGAAATGGATATAGAGAATAAATTACAATTAAAAAACTTATCTAAAACAAGGTGGACTGCAAGAGCCGAGTCCATCAAAGCAGTCTGGAATTCATTTGAAGCTCTATGTATTTCTTTACAAAATATTTATTCAAATTCTAGTTATTTTGATGGTCCTACAAGAACAAAAGCAAGGACTAAACAAAAAAATGCTCTCATTTGATTTTATTGTATCTATAATATTTATGAAAAATACAATGTACAAACTGTAACGAGACAATCACGTCATGTTACTGCGCTTAGTCGACAACAATCTCRTATTAGAAGAAAACATAAACAACAAGACCTTGGAGTTGTTTGGAGACGAATATTTTGAATTAGATAAACAGTATCAAGAGCTAACGAGCGAAAGCCAAAGCCTGACAACCGATAAGAAACTCGATGAAATCGAAATACAACATCGAGAAATGTTACAAGAACAGCAAAACACATCAGTCAGACGGGAAGCAATCTATAGATTACAAGGCGATTATATTCCCATCAATGCAACACGGGCACATGCAAAACTCATGGCCCGATATGAACGACAGAAAAAGGCAAAAAACACGAAATACACGCTAGAGTCAACTTTTCATCTACCAGATTCGGTACAACTTATAAAAAAGATATCTACGTCTAGTTCCCCTGCAACCACCTCGGTGGACTCCCACAGATCACCAAAGCCGCTAACCAGTGAGTATCACCACCGTCGGGAGATTAAAGCGATGATCAATCCCTCCATCAGCAATAGGCAAATAAAAAAGCAATTATATAAAGAAAAGCTCCAAGCATCCAAACAAAGAACTAATGAATAAAGATATTCTGTATTGTATATATGTAACCTAATATTATTTTTCTTTTGTCCCGTTCTATATTGTTTAAAGTTATCAACCATCACTCTGTAAATATGTTTCAAACTTTAAAAGGGGACTATGTAACGAGACAACCACGTCATGTTACTGCGCTTAGTCGACAACAATCTCGTATTACTACATTTAGYCGGTAGCATCAACACAGTACGCACTTCCGACGCATGATGTCAACAATAGAGAGCGCCCATCTCAGTGTGACCATGTGCCGGCGACAAGTTCAGCTCACTATTACCATATTAATACACTAAAAGTTAAATGAACGGCATCGGAATGATACTACSAGTACGAAAATGTCATATTATATGCATCGGCCCAGGGGTATTACGAAAAGATAGACACCAAAGGATGTCAAATAGTACACATATCCCGGTATCCCGCGCATTCGCTAAGGGAACCAGTGACATGCATATAACCCCGTCACGGACACCACAGCAGGCATCCTTACCTTCCCAGTCTACAGTCTGGCGACACGGTACCGATCAGAAGTGAAATAAAGCGCCGATTACCGGGCTACGGTCATTAAACYGTAGCAAACTGGATTAATCTGCTTATCACTTGCATCGTTTGTACCGTCGTCGACCAGACCGACCAGGACAAAGAAGCAAGCCAACCAGCCAACGACAAGCCGCTACCAAGTGCCGCGGCCGCAGAAGCCTTGCCGTCACCATCGCCACTACTACCAACCGCCACCAACGCCGTCAGATCAAGGAGTAGGACAAGAAAACCAAGTACGTATCACCAGTCATTCGACGCTACCACGGGCCAAGGTTAATATAAATAGAAGGTTTGATCATGTATGATAGGGAATAAATAACAGGTGCGGGGTAGATAATAAAATGACGTCATAATAGTACAAAGTTTTAAATATTAAATGCAG